AGTGGCTGGGGGAAAGATTATCATCCCTTTCCAGCAGCTGGGAGGAGTCTAAACAATGAGGGCTCCTTTTGATAGCTCACACCTCTAGACCATTTGCCCTTCCCAGTGACACCCAGCCCAGTTATATTCTCTAGGATCTTTTCTTAAACATTCTGGGTGACTTTGGGTAATCATTTATTCAAATCTGTGGAGATTTAAAATAAAAATATTACAGTCCTACCACGTCCTGAGACCAGGCCTCTTCCCTGTGTCAACAAAGTGATCATCAGAAACAAGATTTTTTTCTCTTAAAGGTCTTATTTAAAAACCTTTACTTCTTACTTAAAAACCTCCTAATTTCTTTCTTTCTTTTTTAAAGGCAACTGGGGTTAAGTGACTTGCCCAGGGTCACACAGCTAGTAAGTGTCAAGTGTTTGGTCTGAGGCCGATTTGAACAATAGAGAATTTTTTTTTTTTAATTTGTGGTGAGGCAATTGTGGTTAATAGAGCTACTAAGTATCACGTGTCTGCAGTGGAATTTGAACTGAGGTCCTTCTGACTCCAGGGCAAGTGCTCTATCCACTGCACCATCTATCTGGCCCCAAATAGTATTATTATTATTTTTTTTGTTTGTTTTGGCTAGGCAATGGAGTGACTTGCCTAGGGGTCACATAGCTAGTAAGTGTCAAGTTTCTGAGGCCGGATTTGAACTCAGATTCTCCTGACTCCAGGGCTGGTGCTTTATCCACTGTACCACCTAGCTGCCCCCACCTAATTTCTTTTTGCCTGGAACCAATTTTTTTCAAGCCCTGGGTCTTTGGGATCTTGATAATCACCATTACTGGGGAGCTGGAAATAACCTTTACTGGAACTATTGCTGAAGCAAGGAAATAGACTTCTATTGCACAAGACAGTTAACTTGGCATAGTGGGTTGAGCACTGGAATTGTAGTCCAGAGGATGTGAATTCAGATCCTGCCTCACACACTTACCAGGTGTGATGAGGGGGCAAATTACAATTTCTCAGCTTCAGTTTCCTCATCTATTAAATGGAGAATAAGAGTGTCCACCAACAAAGGTTGTTTTGAGAATCAAATGAAATAACATGTTTGTTTTGTAAACCTTAAAGTGTATATAAATATTAGCTATTATTATTATTGATAAGAATTAAAGAAAAGAGTCTCTTTTGTCCCAGTAATTTAGTTTTGAATACCTTCTGGAGGTTTTGCTGAGTTGTTATCTTTGAAGAATTTTTTCTCATTGGAACTTTCCCTTTCCATATATCCTAACTTGGTTTTTCCTTTCCAGTCCTGACCCTTCTAGACAGGTGAATTTCACCTCTGTGATTCTGTTTCCTTACCTGTTGGATGAGTTGGTTGGACTTGTTGACCTTTAAACTCCCTTTTGAACCTAACTACAATCCTATTCCAAACTGGTTAGATGGCTGAACTCAAAGAGTAGTTTAAAGATTCATTGTTAACATGACAGATCTCCATTGGAGTACACCAGGGATCCATACGTGGTCCTGTTGCATTTGATTAGTTGGTTAATTTTAAATTTTTCTATTTATTTTGAACTTGAAAACAAAAAGATCAAAAAAAACCCCATTTCCATGTACACAGCACAACACAAAAGGAGGATTCAATATGAAGCCATGGATCTTCATTTCACACAGTTCCTTAAAAACCCCAACAACTATGTAAGTACTATATATCATTTTCAAAGCTACCTTTCTTTTCTGTGCTTCTGTCCGAGTGTTCTTTACTGTGTAAGGTCCTATGGTATTTAACATTTTTATCAATGGCTTGCTATAGATGGCATGCTTATCAAAAGCATGCAGATGACACAAAACTGTCAGGGATAGTTAACATGCTACATGGAAAGTTATAGAGGGCCATTTTTTCCTTTAAAATATGTGAATTCCTATGAATTTTCTCTTATGATTTCAAACCGTCTTCTGAAATTGGTGGATCAGTTTTCAGATCCATCAATAGTGGAGATCTTGACAAGCTAAAAATAATTGGGCTGAATCTAACAAGATGAAATTTGATTAGGATAAATGTAATTCTCATACCTGACTTAAACAATCTACTTCAACAATACAGAATGGGAGAGCCATGGTTAGAAAACAAGTTGTCTGCAATGGGCCAAGGATAGCATATGTGGTAGAGAAGTGAAGGCATTGGGTACAGATGATTTGTTCAAGAAGTTTGGCAATAAATGATCAACAGTCAATAATAGTCAATAAACACTTATTAAGTGCCTACTATGTTCCAGGCACTGTGCTAAGCACTGAGGCTACAAAGAGGAAAAAGAAAGCTAGTCCTTGCCCTCAAGGAGCTTACAATCTATTGGGGGGAAGAAAATACAAAAGAAAGCTGAAAACTTCCAGATTAGGAGGCAAGGGAAGGTATAGCTGATATCTACCCTCTCACTTGAATTTCTTGTGACAAGCTCTTCTATGTTTCAAATGGTTTTGGGGCAGCTATCTGGGCTAGGAAAGAGAACTTTAAAAAAAAAATAAACATAAGGAATTTGGATTGAGGTAAGGTAAGGTCCAGGGGGAGAATCTATGAGAAGGGACTGAGGTTAGCTTGGTATAAGCAAAACATACCACCTAGGAATAAGTGCTAATTTGAAGGAGGCCGTATGAAGGAAAGAATGCTGCACTTGGAATCTGGAAGATGTGCATTGGAATTCTGTCTTTAATACTTCCTAGCTTTATGAGAAGTCTCTAAACCTCCAGTTTTTAACTTGTCTAATAAGGATAACATTATCCCTGTAATACTAGCCTTACAAGGTTGTTGTGAGGCTGAAATAAGCCAATATGTGTTACGCCCTTCAAGAATCCTAAAGTGCTGTCTAAATTTCAGTTTATAGAAGCTGATGGGGATAGAGACCATACCTGGGATTTCCCTGGCATAGGGAACGGTTGAAGAAAGGTACCTTCTCAGTAACTAAGAGTCATGGAGTTGCCTAGTTATTGTTCAGTTGTTTTTTTCAGTTGTATCTGACTCTTCCTTAGCCCATTTGGAGTTTTCTTGGCAAAGATACCAGAGTGGTTTGCCATTTTCTTCTCCTGCTCATTTTACAGATGAGGAAACTGAGGCAGACAGGGGTAAGTGACTTGCCCAGGGTAATACAGCTAGTAAGTGTCTGAGGCCAGATTTCAACTCAGGAAGATGAGTCTTCCTGACTCCAGGCAGGGCACTTTATCCCCTGTACCATCTAACTGCCCCCAGAATTGCCTAGAGCACTGAGAAAGGAATATAACCAAAACAAAAAAACCCCAATTTTAATTTCAAATATGAGTGGATTAAACTCAATAAAGTAAATGAATGTCAGAATGACCAAAATAAATAAAATTACTTCTACTCTTTTACCAAATGTAGGCTATTGTTGATGGACAGTCAAGAGCGTAACAGTCAATTTAACACCAAGTGCCTGCTGGGGTAAGGGAGGGGGCCATGAGGAGGTGAACAAAAGGGGAACACCAGAATTGGAAGGGGCCTCAGAAGCTCTAGTCCAACCTCTTTCTTTTTATAGATAAGGAAGTTGAGGCTTGGAGGTTATGACTAGCTAGAGGAGGAAAAAAAGGTCTGGTAAGTTGCCTAAGAAAACTGATAACACTGAAATTTTAACCAGGAGCCCTTATGACATAAGTTTCCTGCCATGGGGTACCATTTTGGCAAAGCCTTTAGCAAACCCTGTATCCAAAATTTCTGTCCAGTTGCATAAATACAGAGCATTCTATAAGTGGAGTTGTTCCTCTGGAGTTTAAGCAGCAATTTATGTCGTTCATAAATAAGATTACCAAAGAGTGTTCCCTTATAACGTATAAGAAATCAGTGAGTTGGTCCAACTAATCTATCATCATGAAGCCTAAAACCTAGGTGGCATAGCCGAGAAGGCCCAGGGAATGGGAATCAGGATAGACGTGAATTCAAATTCTACCTCAGAACCTTACTAGCAGTGTGACCCTAGGCAAGTAATCACAATCAGCCTGTTTTCTTTATTTGTAAAGTGTTGGAGAGAATTGGATGTGGGGACTTCTGGGGTCCTTTCCAGCCCTAAATTATGATACTACCATGCTAGACCCTTAGTTACAAGTACTAAGAATTTACATGCTAGGTGCCAAGATGAAATAATCCCTAAATGGCAAAGCAGTAACAAAGCCGCATCGACTTCCAGATTTTTCGTCTCGACTGACTCCCTTGCAGAATTAGGGAAACTACCACAAAATGAAACCAATCTTAAAACAATCCTAGAAAGCAATATGCCCAGGCTGGTCCATTTCTTTTCCTTTACAAAGACTCAGCATTTAAGAGGCTTGGCTAACCAGCATGGTCTCCTTACATGAGAGTTAAATGCTAGGGGCAGCTAGGTGGCACAGTGGATAGAGCACAGGCCCTGGATTCAGGAGGACCTCAGTTCAAATCCAAATTCAGACACATAACACTTACTAGCTGTGTGACCCTGGGCAAGTCACTTAACCCCATTGCCTAGCCAAAAAAAAAAAAGAGAGTTAAATGCTCCCAGGTGCAGGGGTCTACACGTGCAGAGAGAAAGACGTTTTAGGCTTTCTAGGAAGGATCCCCAAAAGCCTGGGGATTCGGTTAAATTGGTCAGCAACCTGGGAAACCTGGATCAACCTGTCCCCTCCCCTGCTGCCAACCTCATTACCTTTTCCCCTGCATCTGGGCATGCATTTATTAAGCGCCTACTATGTGCCGGGCACTGTGCAAAGCGCTGGAGGACGGACGGTGCTCAGGGCTGGCGAGCGCGCTGACCGGCTGGGAATCAGGGGGGAGGAGCCACCGGCTCCTTGGAAGACGCCCCTTCGCGCCATTCGGTGCCCCTCGCCCCCCGCGGGAGGCGGAGCCGCGGGGTGCCGGGACCGGGGCGAGCGCCGGAAGAGGAAGCCTTGAGCTTGGCCCTGGGAAGCGGCGGGGGGCTGCGGCGGGCGGCTGCGGCGGGCGGACAGGTGCGCCGCAGGGGGCGGTGATGCGGCGCCGCGGGGACGCCCCGGGCTGGCGGGGCTCGTAAGCCACCATGGAGCTGCTCGGGCCCCTGCACCTGGCTCTCTTGGGGCTGGGGTTGGTGCTGGCTGGTGCAGCGGAGACCCCGGTGAACTCCAGCTTAGGTAAGGAGCGGGCCTGGCTCGGGAGGGAGTGGGGCCTGCCATTGCAACTGAGACTCTCTCTATATATATATTTTGCGCCGTGCTAATTAATGCATTATTTTTTGCAACAGAACATTTTATATTTTATTTTAAAACATTACAAAATGCTATATCTAAAAATGCTCACGTGCATTTTCAAAAGTTTGCTGGGTGATCCGAATGAATGCCTTAGGGAGGAGAAGGGACCGAGGCCTTCGTTCACCCTGGGAAGAATGATCAGTTGCTTTCAGAAGGGGCTCTGGCCTCCGGGAAGCCTCTGCTGAGCCTCGTCCCCGCTGCCAGTACACGAAAGCCGGGGCAGAAGCTTGAGAATCCCTCTCCCCTGGCTCCTTTTCCCGAGGACATGGTAACCCAGGGTCTGGAGCAGTCATGTTTCTGGCTTTTCCATGCCATTTCTCCAAACTGGGGCGCGGACCTTAGGTAGTTCAGTCCAGGTGCAGAAATAACGGGGTTAGGGCCCCTCGAGAACGCAAAGGTAACCCCAAATGTGGAGCCTCCAAGTCACATCTTAGAGCAATCGTGGCAAGGGAATTTGCTACATCTAGAAAAGTTATGCAGAGAATTGGTCTTTATAAATTGTGTCATGTGCTTTGGTGCATGGAGTCTGACAACAATTCCTGGTTTGTTCCTTTTTTTTTTTCCCCCTTCGTACTATTTGGAGGAGAGATCATCAGAATCATTTAAACGCTGTTAACTTGCTTTAGCTATTTAGGGCCTGAAGGAGTATCTTTAATGCAAGCAAATGAAACAATCAGAACAATTAGAGTTTCAGAGATGCCCAGCTTTGGCAAAACTGAGTTGTACCAGCGGGAATGCTAACTTTTTTGTGCTTTGCTTTGTCTCAAGAAGATGAGATTATGTTTATGCTACAAAGCAGTTATAAAAATATCACAAGACCTTTGGTGTAGTGCTTCAAAGCCTTAGAAATCCTCGCATTAAATCTTTGATGCCCCAATGGCAAAGCATGTGGCGGTATTTTATCCTAATTTTGTATGTTAAAAACTAGCTTGTTAAAGGTTACTCATATGGGGCAGCTAGGTGGTGCAGTGGATAGAGCTATGGCCTTGGAGTCAGGAGAACCTGAGTTCAAATCCGACCTCAGACACTTGACACTTAACTAGCTGTGTGACCTTGTCACTTAACCCCATTGCCTAACAAAAAGAAAAAAAAAGATTACTCATCTGTCAAGTGATGCAGGCAGGGCCAGAACTCAGGCCTTCTGGCTTCTAACCTAGTGCCCTTTCTATTATATCAGGAACAAGATATTATACACGGCCTGTCAGAGCTAAAAACAAAACAAACAAAACACCAAAACTAATTAGAAGCACTTGGCATTTTTTTTTGTAGAAATTTGGCATTATTTTTAACCTGAAAGAGTTTGCTCAAGAACTGCATCAAAAAGTTGTTAATTAATACTTGATGCAAGAGACTTCCTGGCTTTAATGGAAAGAGAGCTCACCTCAGTCTGGAAGACTTGGGTTTAAGTCTCCCTTCTGACACATAACTTGCCTTTGATCTTAATCAGTCCTCACTTTTTACTATTCTAGGCACCTTGCTAACTAAAACCAATTTGCAGAAGGGTTTCTGATCTACATGATAGAGGAAGTTTCTTACATTATCGAAGTCACAGGTCTATTCTTCCCCAGCATACAAAACTCCCCCACCAAAACCAACAACCCCATGACATGTGAGCGTTGGGGAAGCTTTCTGGTATTTTCCTTCTTATCCCTTCATCTGGATTCCCTATGGCATTTCTTCTGGGCCCTTCTTGCATTTCCTTAAGAGGGAACTTAACTATACCCACTGTTAAGTAACCAGACCTATTTTGACATGTATATGTGAGCTAAAGGTGAATAAAGAAAATTAAGGAAGACTTTAATTTAGCACAAGCATTATCAAGATTTTTATGCATCTGGTAAAACCAGAGTTTCAGGTGGAAATGTCAAGTCCATAACACTGGCACTTAGAATGCCTTCCCAACAATTGTTATTGCTGCCTAAAGAGAGGTAGGTGTTTGAAATGGGCTGTGCATCTTAGAGTGGTGGGGTTGATCATAAAACTGATGGCTGGATTCTTTAGGTTAGGTAGCCTGATGCCTGGCATTTGAATGGTGCTGTACCATTGGCAAAGTGCTTCACATGTATTATTTCATTAGTGCCTCAGAAGTCTTTATTACAAGTTTTTATTAGCCCTGCTTTGTAGAGGAGGAAATTCCTGGAAGGTACTTAAGTAACTTACCAAGGTCACACAGTATCCAAACTGAAGTTTTCAGGACTTAAAATCCAGTACTCCATCCAGGATGGGGTGGCTTATAATTTATAGACCCTTAGCTGGTCAGTGAGTCAGTGACCTATCATTAATTAAGTGCTTACTATGTTCCCATCACTATGTTAAGGCTGGAGAATAGAAAAAAAGGCAAAAGACAGTCAATAAACATTTATTAAGTTTGCTATGTGCCAGGCACTATGCTAAGCACTGGGGATACAAAAAGGAAAAAAGAGTGAGAGTTCCTGCCCTCAAGGAGCTTACCATCTATGAGAGAAAGATAACACACAAAAGAAGGTTTCAAGGAGTTCCGTGGGGAGGAAATACAGGACTAGGAGTATGGTGTGGAAGTCTTTAAGAGAAGTTCCAAAGTAGTGCAGCCAAGTGAGAAAGGAGATGGCTGAGTTGAAGGTTGGTGTTCATGGCCCCACTGTTCAATCAGTGAGACACTCTTGTCTCACTGTAATTCGATGGAGAACCACGGCTGATGAGATCTCTTAGAGGATGATGAGGTTGGCCCAATAAAGAGCTTCCTGGTACGTGGTGGAAAAGTCCCTGCTCTCAAACAGCTCAGGGCCTAATGAGGGAGATAACATGCAAACAGCTATGTACAAACAAAATATATACAGGATAAATTGGGGCTAATATCAGAGAGAAGGAAAGGGGGGTGGATAGAGTGCTGGTCTTGGAGTCAGGAAGACTCATCTTCCTGGGATCAAATCTGGCCTCCAGCACTTATGAGTGGCAGTGTGACCCTGGGCAAGTCACTTAACCCTGTTTGCTTCGGTTTCCTTATTTGTAAAATGAACTGGAGAAGGAAATGGCAAACCACTCCAGTATCTTTGCCAAGAAAACCCAAATGGGGTCGGAGTCAGACACAACTGGAAAATGACTGAACAACATTAGAGGGAAGGCACTAAGATTAAGGGGACTGGGAAAAGCATATTGTTGAAGGTGGTCAAATTATGTGTTTTATGGTAACTTTGAGTGGGAGAAAGCCTTATGTAGAGTTAGGTGATTTGGAGTATTAGGCAGGTGTGGTCTATAGCTAATTAAAAATCCACAGATTTTCCCCAAATTTCATCAGTCTGATAGTCTACAGGGGTGAGGAACCTGTGGCCTCCAGGCCACATATGGCCTTCTAGGTCCTTGGGTCTGAGTCCACTTTTACGGAACAAATCCTTTCAATAAGGGGATTGTTCTGTGAAGTTTGGATTCAGTCAAAGGGCCGTGCTTGAGGACCTAGAGGGCCACACGTGACCTCAAGGTTGCAGATTCCCCACCCTTGGTCCCTTCTCCAGAGTTTTTACTAAAGTTAAGAAGTAACTTTGTAATAATGCCTTCCATTAACCCTATTCTCTCTCTTGTATGATGATGATAGCAGTTCTCAATTCACCTAGCACTTTGATATGGATGCTAATTAGCAATGAAATATGTCAGAAACATTTTCCCTGTTATCTGTGCTTCTCTTCTTTTTTCTTTTTTTAAAATTTCATTTATTTATTTATTTATTTTTGGCTAGGCAATGGGGTTAAGTGACTTGCCCAGGGTCACACAGCTAGTAAGTGTTAAGTGTCTAAGGCCGGATTTGAACTCAGGTCCTCCTGAATCCAGGGCCGGTGCTCTATCCGCTGTGCCACCTAGCTGCCCCTGTGCTTCTCTTCTTTAGTCTGTTTATAGTTAAATTTTTATAACTCTAGATTTTGAATCTCCAAACTCCCAGTTCTCACACTGAACATTTATATGTTATATTAAGAATTTTCATATTTTTGTTATTTTATGTCATATTGGTATTCTAATATATTATATTTAATTATATATAATATATAATGTATTAATATCTATGTATTATGATAACATTTTTATATGTTATATTAAGAAATAGTTATGTTGAGGTTTTTATTTTGCATAAATATTCCAGCATTGGTGTCCTTTAAATTCTCAGAGTGTGATATTATAAAAATTGATGTCTTGAAACACTGCAGAAGCCTCATACAACACTGGGTTTGGAATTAATGGACCCAAGTTCGACTCTTGGTAAGGTCACTTACCAACTCTGTGACCCTGGATAAGTCACAGGGTCTTACTCTTTGGGCCTCTGTTTTCTCATCTGTAAAATGAAGGACTTGAAATAGTTGGTTTCTAAGTTTCAAATGCTGCTCCAAATCTAAGATCTTTTGATGCTGTAAGTAGAGAGATAAGATGTGGCTATTCTCTCTCCCCAATATTCTCTCTGTCAGAAGAGATTCTGACAGAATCCTTTTGTTAACAAATCCCTTTACTAAGGGGATTTGTTCTGTGAAGTTTCGATTTGGTTGAAGAGTTACACTTGAGGACCTGGAGGGTCACATGTGGCTTGGAGGCCTCAGGTTCCCCATCCCTGTAACCCATCCACATGCTTTTTGATGCTGTGTAACTCCTGGCCACGTGGTCCAGTAAAAGTCTTCATAGAGGATCAGTCCAATGTGATTTATGTCAGGCCAGAGTTCCACAGGATAGGAGATTGCAGTCTGTATTGATGGAATGAATTGTACTTACATCTGTCATCCCACCAAAGTGTCTTCCCAGTGAGGGTAAGGCCCAGACCCTGACCTATATCCATGATATCTGGGCATAGTTGAAAAATTGGATCTTTTCCATGGCAGGGTCCAGGAGCTCCTCACAGCTCCTATTGGGCAATAAGCTAAGAAGCTCAG